GCCCTTTTACAGGCTACATTTCCGTATGAAGCACTCATATATATATAAATAAGTATCAATTAATTATCATGTTGTAATAATTCTTAGTTGAGGACGAAAACATTACTTTCTTTTTAACGTTCAAGGAATATATAACGATGAACATTTAAGTTAAGAAAATATCACCTAAATGATATTTCGAAATAGATTGATAAGCAAAGCCTGAAAAGGTCATTGAAATTGTTCATTTTCAAATTATGGGTAGATTGTTGCTCTCAATTTTAGGTTCTCTTTGTCATATAAGTCTTGTAAGTTGAGAGTAAAGCTGGATTCAATAAGGTGGTAAATAATTATTATAAAAGTATTACTTAATATTGTTCTATTAAAATGGATGTATGATAAAAAAATGTAGCTCCTATATATCTGCACTGAACGACGACAAAAAATACCTTGAACGGCTCTTGATTAGCGGAATAAATTGACTAACCACTGAAAATAAACTAGTCTTCTATCATCCGAAATTTCTTTTATTCTGAAAACGAAAATACCCATGTTGTTAACATTATTTCTATTACAAATTTCTAGTTCGTTTTTAAAATTATTAAGGACGTTTTAAGCATGTCTTCAATAAAGGTTTTTAGAGGAATATTCTTAGAAAAAAATATAAGCTTTCAAGACTTCTTTATATCCTTAAATTTGGAATCGGTTCGGTTCGGTTCCAAAAAACACGAACCGATCCCATTAGTGTTTCACATACTCATTTGTTACTGAAATTAGTTTTTAAATTTGAACAAGAAAATAATTGTACATTTTTTATTTTTCCAAATACAACTGAAAGTGCATAAATAAAAAAATATTTTCATATATTTTTTACCACGAAATAAACATTTATAATACTAAGACAAGTTCACTGTTTTTCATTTATTCATTCGAGCATGAAGAATACAAACATCTTAAGAAATAAGGTAGAGACAGAACTGAATACAAAAATATCTCATCAAAAATATAAGAAAGCATTTGATTATGTGTACTGTGCACGTGAAAAAAGTTGCTCAGAAAAAATTTCGATAAAAAAATGTATCTCATTTACACTCAAAAATTCAAATTTTTGAGGTACAATGGGCGTTTTTCTTTATAAATAACGTTTCAACCACTTTCATGCGTAAATTCGACGAAATTTGGCAGAAAAATGAGTAAAAAAAAGTGGAAAAAAAAGAAAATGTCGAAAAAATCGACAAAAACACGATTTTTTGTGTGTTTTTTGAAATAAACAAAAAAAAACGCATAAAATTTGACTAAAAGTTGCTACTTTTATTCAAAAAACGTCAAAAACCGCCATATCTGTCTGCTTGGGTAGTAAATCTAAGGCATCAGACAATTTACTTTAGTGGGGATGATGGCTGCTGCAGTCAAAATAGTTACCATACATAATCGACCAATAGTGATTGGACATTGAAAAACGTTCAAATCGAATTAGGTCTAAAAGTCGTCTCGGCAATGCCCAGCTTAATTTTTTGTAAACCATAACTCCAACTCTCCGGCATTGTTTAATTTGCGTAGATCTTCCTGAGATCTATAAATACGCACTGTCTGCCAAGCGTTTCGCTCATATAAGCCAGGTAACTGATCATTGATAATTCGAATATTGTATCCACGAGAGGCAAAAAAGTTAAGATATTCATTTGGATCGGAGTTTTTATCTCGCATCATCCTAGGAGAAAACTCTGATATGATGTGACGAACGCGATATCGGTCAAATAATCCAATGCCGCTACGTATTGCATGTAATTCGGATCCTTCAACATCTATTTTCATTACATCGATATCCTCAGCAACTAATACGTCGAGCCGTGTACTGTTTATAATCTGTCTTATTGAGTAACCTGCAGGTACTAGCACATTGATGTCCTTTAATGATGATATGCCACAAACCACGTGACCATCACCAATATTGCGATTATCACTATAGAGTATACATTTGCCCGGCATTGTACCAAGGCCATTTGAATGCACAATAACATTTTGCGATAGTTGTGATGCCTGTAGAGATGCTTGCATGAGCTTAACATTAATATCCATTGGCTCTATTGCTATCACCCTGTGACCGAGTACTGACATGACGAGAGTGAACCAGCCGATGTTAGCACCAATATCTAAGAAAATGGCGGGTTTCGACGGAGAATTTGCTAACAGCAACGAAATAAACTTTGTCTGATGTGACATCCATGATCCAGATCTAGCGATTGAATTTGAGACAATGTCATTCGACAATAAATGTATACAAAAAGGACGAGAACCAAGAAATGTAATGTTAATCCCACTTCTATTACTCCAACAAGGATAGGCTTCTGTACTAAAGTGAACAGGTGTTGGTGTCGATATGACACGCAGTTGTCTTATTCTGTTCATGTAAATAAACCCAAAAATAAATAAAATAAGCAACAATATAAACAATATCCATCGACGAATTTGACGTGAGAAAAACTGCTTCATTGTCGGTATATATCAACAAAAAGAATATTGATGACACGATGATTGAGAATGGAGTTGAATCATGGATTAAAATGTTCTAAACAGCACTTAAAAAATTCAAGCAGTATTAAACGGCAGATGGGGGTAAGATTACTCAATTAACAGTTTTAGTTAAATAAACGGTTATATAGAAGACACACGTCTTTGTTTTACTTTCTTTTTTATGTATTAGATAACAGTTTGAAAATGCATAGATAAGAACGAAAAAGTACTGAAATTTGAGTCAACATAGATTAAAATGAAGTTACCTCATTGAAACGTTTTAGTGCTGATGAATATTCATTCAAAATACGAAATGACATTGTCGAACTAATTCATTTTGTCTTATTTAGATTCCAGACTAATCCACTAATCATCATGTGTAATCTGAAGATTTTACTCGCTCCCTATTTGAAAAAGTGATTATTAAGTACTAAAGTTATGGTGAAATAACTACATGAACAGTTACTTAAAAATAAAAAATTTTTTTTAAGAAAGTGCTTACCTATATTGCAAAAATTGTCGGTTAACCGGCAACAACAGCTAGTAACTTTCACATAGCTAGAGAAAAAAACACGCACTCGTGACTGAGAATGTTCTGTTCTGTTTTTTAATGATTAAAACAATATTTGACAGTAAGAAACATGATATAAATCTTGTTCGCACATATTCAGCTGGGAAGGAAGCAAAAAAACTAATATATAAGTTCTGAGCAATGAGAAATCACCATAAACACTGTAGATACGATTTCAGCTAGGATAAACTTTTATATTGTGTTGATAATTCTGGCAGATTCAGCGTGCTCAAACTGATAAACAATCTAATTTGGAACGACAATTTCTTTTTAAATCGATGTAACTCTATATCTACAATGCATATTAAAGATGATGGGTAAAGCGTCAGTTATCGTCATATCGGTATTTTTATTATTTCTATAAAGTTCCGAGAAGTACGAAAACTTCACTTGTGTTAGATGGGTCATTCATCCACGAAGTATATCACCATACGACTCAACGATACAGCTGCAAAAAAGCAATCATGATCGAACTGGTTAGAAAAAGAGCAAACATATGGCCATATATTATGGCGATAATGTCGAGTGTTTGATAGGAATAACTAATCAATACTTATTTCATAAAACAATCAAGGAAAAGTGATATGTCTTCCTTTTCCCATCGATCGAATGCATAGAATATGATTTGACGAACAAAGCAGTAACAGCATAAACAGATAAACGTTCTGATATCAATGAAAATAATGAGGAACAGACAAGCTCTGCGTATTATTCTCAGATCATTAATGAATTTGTTTGTCTATTTGAAATTGAATCTGTACATGAAAACATTATTCGTTGATAGTGAATCTTGCTTTTTTCGTTGTTACATGGAACGAAAGCAGACAAGAAAAACCTCACCATAAAAAATATCTGTCTTTCGATATATTCATAGACAAATGAACAGAATATAGAAGTGAAAATAATATTTTTCAAGAGGTAGTTGTATCATTTTAAATAGTACTAAAAATGAGTCAATGAAAACTTCGAAGCTTGTGCACTGTCGGATCTTGAGAATTTATCATAGAAATTCATCAATTACAACCGCCTTAAAATGTTCTGCCACAGGAAAGATGTGAAACAATGCAAAAAGAATGAAACTGACATAAGTGATATGAAATTTTTATTTTTTGTGCTCAATGTGTGAGACAATACGTTGAAGATGTTCTAAATGCTGACGATTACCAATATGCATCTGGTGCATTGGTGGAGTGGGTGTGGGTGTAGATGTGGTAACTCTTTATGGTCACCCAGACCCAAACCGTACCCACACCCACACCCTTATCTTATGCACAACATCAAAAGCCGGTTTTTCAAGTGTTTCACGCAATTGCAGTAACCGTTGATCGAACTAATCATCGACGATACATAACAATATATCGTCCAAATTTGACTGCAAGTGGAATGAGAAGTTTAAGTGGAATAGTCAATCCACGCACATGCTCTATAGTAGTACTCATAAACGATATTTGTTTCCCATTAATTGACCATAAGAGCATCCACTAGAGACTGAACAAGGATATTGGTTGATGATCTTGTAGAGGCAAATGCACGAAAGATCATATTTGATGTGGAATCATTTGGTGTGATCTTGTCTATGCATGTAACATTATAGAGACATTCCAGAGTAGATTGTAGAAGAGATTCAATTGGATTGCAACCAACTCGAAATCGGGGAACAAGCCATCCGTCGATAAATGCCGGTGATAAACATGTTGAGCTAGAACCACAGACACAGATATTATTCCCATATGAGCGTGGCGATACGGTGATATCTGCTTGAATCTCGTATGTATATCCTGCATAGTGATCAATATACCAATTGGACAGTATCGATGAGATGATTCTGTTGCCATTTTGTATGTCTTTAATGTAATCGAATCGCAAGGTGAACGCTCTACTTGTTGACGAATGAAACTGTTGGACAGCAGAAGGGTGTGGATCTGGGTCTGGGTGTGGGTATCAGTGTGGATGTGAGTAAATAGGAAAATGATACTCCCACCCAAACTCCCACCCACACCCATACCCCACACCCCACAGCCCTACATTTTGAATTAAAGACAAACAATGATACAGATGAAAGATGTTAATAGAACTTTTATTTAACAATAACTTTTGCCTATCAAAAATTTTAAGATTCTTTATTAACTTTTAATTTTAAAATAAGATCGAGACAGAATGATACTTATATCTATAGAAGAAACATAATTGATGATCTCATTGAGAATTAACTCATAAAAAACGACAGTAAAACAATAAAACCTTTTGCTTATAAACCATAATCTAAATCAAATATTGGTCGTTGACTTTTGTCGCTTTTCTTAAAGTAAAAAGAGTCAATCATTTTTATAATCTTTATTTAGTAAAATTACTTATCAAAAGTTCTTATAACAAAAAAACTCTAATTATCAAAAATCAAAGGTGTATAGAATAGTCGAAATACGATGTTGTGATGCAACATAATGACTATAGAATATTCAAATGATTAATTAGTTCCATTGAAATCATCAATAATCATAACCAATACTAATTTTATGTATAGGATTTAATAATATTTATTTGATTTAAAAAATAAATAAATTCAATTATTCAATCAAATATTCGCATATATCTTACTTTTTAAATTTATTTAATGTTAATTTTATTAATGAATAATTTACTTTTATTAAGATAGTTTTCATTCTGATCCAAAAATAGTTTTATTTTAAAAGATGCAAAAAACAAAATAGAAAAATTGACTTTTTGTTATCTTCGACGATTTTCTCTTTAGCGATTTCTTCAACATTTTTTTTATTTGATGAGGTTTTACTCTAAGATCTTATTTGAAAAAAAAAAGATTCATCAAATCATAGTAATAATTCTGAACGATTTGATTACCATGTGATCATTTTTCATTTCATTTAAGAATTAAACTTCATAAAAATCATCATCATTTAGTTCTTTTGTCAGATTAATTTTTAAAATTGCTAAAAAACTCATTGATGAATACTAATATATTCTGAATTTCTCCGATTTCTATATTGAAATCCACTCGAATTATTTCGCCATTACAAATTTAGGTTGTGAAACATCTTGTATCACTTGAATAAATAGTTCGACGAATAGGTTCTGATATTGAACAATTTATTTGATAATTAAAAAAAACAATGGCCGAACTTTCAGAAGATCAATCAACATCAGTGATGATTCATACAATCACACCAGAAATAAAATCAATGTGTTCACTTCATTTGGACAAGCATTTTTCTGAGCCCGCAATTAGAAACATTTGAGCCCGATAAAATTCGTTCGGACTCAAAAAAAATGTTTTGTGTCTTTTGATTCCGATATATGAAATGAGCCCGATTATCCATTGTTTTGAGTTTGCTATAGTTTATTAGGTTGAATGCAAGAAAGACCAGCTGCAACAGAATTTATAACAATTTCTCTAACTGGTGATGGTGCTCGTATTGTTGATACACGATGAGCATGATTATGTTCGTTGGATGTTGAAACTGTTAATCCACCATCATAAGAAAAAATAATCTGGACTTGAAAATCACATTCAGGATATTTCCTGTACTTTGAACATCGTTATATGACCTTCTTCCCAGCTTCAATTTCTTCTGTACGTTTTATAGATATAGCATTTTGTACAATATAGGATTGAAGTTCAGTTTCACTGAAAAATTTGTCGCCAAAATTCCACGTTCGTTTGGCCATGGTGAAATGTTTACTAAATTCAATAACAAACATGTAGGAAATTCGAAAAATACTGAATGCACGAGTTCCGCATCACGATAATCTATCGTATTGGTGAAATTTATCATGCAAGCGGCATCTACACAATATCTTACGACCGGGCTCAAAACAATAGATAGCCTAGCTCAGAAGACATAAAACATTTTTTTGAGCCCGAACGAATTTCATAGAGCTCAAATCAAACCAACAGGGCTCCAATGTTTCTAATTGCGGGCTCAAAAAAAATATTTATCCACTTCATTTTGTTCTGAAGAAAACAGTTCAATTGTGAAATCCGCAAGATTTAAACATTGATTTACTACGATTTTATATGTTGTACATCGTCTAGTGAAGATCAAAAAAATTTTCCTGAAGAAATTGAAATAAAAAAAAAATTTATGATTAAATCTGATTCAGCACAGAAGATATTAATCAATATTCGTTTTATCAAATATTTCACTTTTTCTTAGAACATGTTAATGAATGATCTGATTATTGATTTTCTCGTCTAAAAACTCACACAAAATCAATTGCTGATAACCTTCGACATATCAGACTGAAGTATGTCTTGAAAAGAAAAAGAAGAAATATGAAAAAATCTAACTATCAGTTATATGATTCTATTTAAAAGTAACTATAATCAAACAAGTGGAGAAAAAAATAATATTGAATTTTGTCAAAAATACAATCGAAAATCATTGTTTTATTATGTTATTTAAATTAGTAGATCGCATAAAAGTCCAAGTAATATTTTATTGTTTTCTATTGGATATCAGCGAGTAAAGATGGTCATAGTTTGTTAGAAACAATTGAATGGATATTAAATTTAAAGATAATATGAAATCACTAACAAAGTCTTTCAAGAACTTTTATTTCGAAGACAAAAGAAAACGAATTATTAGTACAAAACAAAAAAAAGTTGTTCTTCTCTTTTCTTTTTATACACACAATTTATTTAAAGATTTTTCAATATTGACATTGTTGATCCTGAGTTAAATGAAGTTCATATATTATTTATTCTTTTATTTTTATTTTGATTCTTTTTTCTTTGAAATAACCCTGATCTTTTATGCAAATAGTTATTTTTTGTTCGATTTATTAATCAAATGAGCATTTTGTTTCTGTTGTCTATTAGAATAAAAAATCAAAATGAAGAATAATACAAGTTCTTCTCATTCGATATTTTACACAAGCAGAATTCGATGTTGAAAAACTTTTTCTTTTTAAAATGGAAAGACTTTGAGGAAAATGAATTAATATATCGATGGTCAATCAAAAGAATATATTCAACTAATAAAAACTTTCCTTTCAGTATGAAAATAACAATAAATTTCACAAATGTTGTGAAATTTCCACTTTGACATTGAAACAACTGATTGTGCTTTTTTTTATTGTCTTGAATAAATAAAACGGATTTCAACACATAAGCAACATTAGATGCCAGCAATTCGAAATTTGATCAAAATTATTTTTGACGTTTTTTTTTGTCAGGGTTGGATAGACTTCATCGAGTTACTTCTAAGGATATTGTTTTTGACACATGCAAACACTTTTTTTTTGTAGTGGGGCTTAATCAGATTTTAAAAATATTAAAACTGAAGTAATTACATTGAAAATATCAAGTTTCACTAGGCTCGATATTGCTTTTGGTTTACGTATCCTATGGTTAGAAAGAAAAATATATTCTTTGATTGTTAAGAAAATCGAAGTTTTCGATACGATGGCAAAACAATATAAGTATGAGTTCCTATTCAACAATTTTGACCATCACAATTTTTGTTTCAAATGAAAAACATCTACTGTTGTGTTTCTTAAAAACGTTAACAATAGATATTATTTGAAAATGAGAAGAAGTAGAACATCACAAAACAGAAAAAAATAGGCCCACATCTTGCCTCACTTTAATTTTTCCTTTCTTTCATTCTCTTCTGCGTAGCTCTAGCAGGAAGTAGCATTTTACAGAATGTACTTTTTTTGGGTGTGTGATTTGAAGACGCTGATTTTAGATTTGAAGCAAATTAAAGATACAGTCTATTCTATTTCTGTCATAATAGAGAAAATGTGCTGAAACATAATGCTTATATCTATGGCAATTTCCATATTTTTTTGTTTATTACTTTTATATGTGACAAAACTCGTGCGATAACATATCACAATTCGAACGGAACGATCGTTAGAAAAAGAGATATGAAGTTTGTTTGTCTGGTTTTGTGCTTGGAAATTGTATGTGTCTAACATTTCGTTTATAACTTCTGATAGTTTTTCTTTGCATGTTCAGTTCAATTAGTCGAAAGATGCCTTCGATCGAGGCATATGTCATTTTAATGGACTTATGGACTTATGAAAATATGAAATTAAAATTACAAATATAATGCTAGTGGAGTTTGTATCACTGTACTTATTCAACGTGACTTTCGGGATTTATATAATTCGTCATTGAGCAAATATACCACTGATAATCATAGCATTAAACTGAAGGCCAATCTTACTCGTTATGCTCCCATGCAGGTCTGATGACTGAACAATTCAGTCGGAACAGAGACAGAAACCAACGAGAAAGAAGATGATTCCAGCTATCATAGGATGGTCAGCATAAACGATCCATCATAAGCAAATCGATGAATGACAAATGGATTACTTCATTAGATCTTGTTTTGCACTTTGTATTGAGATTTTCATGTTTTCTTTTTCATAATCGAAAAAAAAAATTTCACAAGTTATATATGCGAAAATATTTGAGATAAGAAATATCTCAACTTTGATTCTATGTGCCATATGCATGCAGCAGGATGAGAAAATAATCTAGCAATGGTCGTTAGGTCGTATGAACTGTGATTGATGACTGTAAGCTCACGATTCAGTTGTGAGTTCAAGATGTATGTTCGAAGAACAATATTTATCTCGCTATGCGTAAAAGTGACAGATACAAGTAACAAGTGTGCATTGTGCTGCATATTTTTCAAAGAAAGCGAGAAATTTGTTATGTATCTATGAAGCCTCTTAATGAATCTTTTTGATCATATGCAGATTGTTGGGATCGATATACGACATAACAAGATGTGCAGGCGCGAGATGCAAAAGTTTTTATTGTTGCTAATGTACGTCTGCAATAACGAATTAGTTCATTATTATTATATCAAAAAAACACTGCTCAGTGATGAAAGACGTATAATTCATTCATCTATATCCAAATAGTACATTGTTTCTTTTTCTAAACTCTATCCATATATCATTGTGCAAGAATTGAATGAATTAGCAGGGCTCGAAGCTCGTTGAATTACTTCTACTAAGAGAAATTGTTACAGCCAGATAGACCGTTCATTGATGAGTGAAAATTCACAAAATTTAATAAGCCATTTCAATCGACATTCGTTAAATTGTTTCGTTTGATAGCGATGACTACTTTGACTAAGAAGATGGGAAGAAAGGATAGGTCACCAATCAGAAGATACGATGGCTATATACAGTTATATACGATCGTAGTCGGTCATACATGACAATCTTATAGCTTCAAACATGCTTGTCATGTGAACGAAGTCCATATGCGTACTTATATATTTGACCTAGACAATATGTTGTTCTCTCTCATTCTTCTTCGCTTGAGATACAATGTTAATGTAAATATATATATTGTATCGGTCATAAACAGATAGTGTGACCCCTCGCAACTAAGTGAAGAAGAAAAATTATGGACAAATTTCCAGTTGAAGTTCTCGAGCATTTATTTCTAAACATCCATAATCTATCTGATTTGTTCAATGCTCGTTTGGTTTGTCGACTATGGCACACTCTAATAACAAACGAATATTTTCTCAATATGTACTTTCATAAACGTTATGGAATGCAATCGAAACAATCACTCAAATGGATTAACTATGATAGTTTGTAAGTTTACTTAGAAATAAATACAACGATATATGACTAATAATTAAGATACATTTCTTCCTTGTGTAATTCTAATCTGGTCCTGCGCGTAGCAATATATTGGTTTCTTTGAAACTCACAGTAAACATGCCAATATTTTCGTTTCGTTGCCATCTCGAAGTATTCCTTGATAATTCAGATGTACAATAAAAATCTTCCTTTTTTTTTTTCAAAATCTAGTTATTTGAAGAAAACGTGACAGTAGACAACTTTCAGCATGATAAAGATTCTAAATAAGAAATTTTGCGTCAAAGCAATTTAAAATAATTAGTATCTCATTTTCAGTGTAATTCAAGTAAAAGTAGACAAGATGTTGAAGTTTTTCAAAATTCATCTGCATTTTGAGCATAACTAGTGTTAGTATGTTGTTTTTAACTTTTCAAAGTAATGACAAAACACGCTTCCCTATTATATCATTGATTAATTAAGTTTATGTATATCATATTTTACTTTAGTGGCATACCTAGTCTATTATCACCAAATTACATCATTCAATATCCAGCCCCTAAGAACTTGCAAGAAAGTAATGGTGTCGTAGTACATACCAACCATCATGTTTGTACAACTGCTTTTTCACTACTTGATTTTTCTTTCAATAACGATAATTATTCAGTTAGCATGTGGCTTCTTCTTTCACCTGAATTCGAAGAAATCACATTTCGAATGCGATTCAATAATTTCTCACTTAAATTTATTCTTAATTCAACGTCTATACAAGTTTTGTGTTCACATGCCGATGATCTACAAACACAAACACGAATAAAAGTACTTTATCGACGTTGGTTTCATATGATATTAACATGTTCATCTAAATTTCTATTCTACATCAATGGCAATGCCTATTCGCTTCACTGCACTGAAGAACCATTCAATGCAAACCGAATGTTTGAGAGTGTAATTGACAATGAACATGATAGATATATGATATTGTCGTATAAAGGTTATATTAAGTTTTCATCCGAGGCCAGAGTTGCTGATATTCAAGTGTTGCCATGTGCTTTGACTCCACGCGAAATTACTGCGATTGTTGAACAAAGAACCTGTATCGAGCAATTGAATATGGGAAGATATTTACTCGATCATTGGGCTAATCTACATTGGTATTGGAGATATGCATCACGTTGCATTCTTTTTTAAAAGTTTCTGCTTCTTTTTCATGTAACTTATAACTGATTTTTTTCTTCTTTAAGTTCGTTCTTCAAATCAATGAAAAAAACTATCGAGACCGTAACAGCGTGAGCATTTTCACATTTGATGCTATAGAATTGTTAATGATGTTAAAAGTGTCAACTACATTTCGAAATAGGGTGTGGGGTGTGGATGTGGGTAAGGGTGTGGGCATATGTTGCCGAAGACAAGATTCCACCGCCCACAACCACACCCGCTTACAACCACACCCGCACACCCATACCCACACCCACATGACAGTGTTTACCTACTCGAAGCGTAGATAATACAACTGCATTCATACTATGTTAGCGACTTCAGTGAGAATTTAAAACCTGCAAAAGAAATTATTAATTTGTTTTTAGCACTCGAAGGTATCTTTTCGAAAGGTGCAATCGCTAATATGATGACTCAACATGTTGATTTTCAAGTACTTAGGTTTCGAAATCGTCTTAACTTGAAATCGTTTTTTTCAAAATTTGGAAGGAAAAATATTTTAGTTTATGAACCGAAAATATTTAATTCCTCGTCAATGAGTATTATTTCACATGTTATAAAGGCATAAAATATATATATAATATCTCATCCATTTGATCACTTTGATAATACTTGAGTTTTTTTACAACAATAACCAAAAAAATAAAATAGTAAAATAATGCTAAGCAACATTTGTTCCTGTTTAATAACTGTGTATGCTAACAGCGACGTTTTCTTTTTGTTATTTGACGAGTAAAAGCACCTAACTTTCCGTCAAACAAAGAAGTAAAGCCATCTTGATAGTCATCATCTGTATTATAATCAACTGTGGTCGACTTCTTCTTTCGCTTATGACTTTGCGAAAGTATAATGAAACATCTTTTCACGGAAAGGTAGAACAATAAACCCTTGATCATAAAATAAAAAGCCCTTTTCATAACAGAGTAGAGCAATAAACGCTTGGTCGTAGAATAATAAACCCTTTTCATGAAAGAGTAGAACAATAAACCCTTGGCCATAGAATAATAAACCCTTTTCATGAAAGGGTAGAACAATAAACCCTTTACGGTAGAATAATAATCCCTTTTCATGAAAGAGTAGAACAATAAACCCTCTTTATTTTTAAATACTCTTTTTCTCAGAAACCCTTTTGCACAAAAACCCTTTAAGGGTTTAGGAAGACTTTCCTAAAGTACTACGGTTTATTATTCTACGATTATTTTTTACCGTGTAGGACTACTCTAATCAGTGGGACATTTTGGATATGGAATTGGAGAAAATAGGAGTTCGTTGTTCATAGTTAAAGCGGTGTAGTTTTTTTGACAATCCTGTCAGACATGAAGATATATCCTGATTGAAATTTTTGTCTAATAGTGGAGAAAGAGGAACATGATGGTGAGGTATTCAACTTTTTTATTCCTCGACTATAGGGAGGGTCATATGAAATAAAATGCGTTTGTGTGTATGTGTGTGTCAAGGTCAAAATAACATCAGAGGTGAAGTTCATTTAGGCGTAACTTCTAAAGTTTCACCAAAGGTAATTGAGGTCGAGAAATCCGAATCTGAGGTCAGATTTTACATCCGGCCTTCCTATTGACTAGGGAGGCGAGCAATCAGAAATGAGCTTTTTTATTTTAAGCTTTTCGAGCGTTTTGATGAAACTTTACTATAGGTTATTGATGGACAGGATTCCGAATCTGAGATCGAATTTTATTCCCTCGACTGAAGGGAGGGTCATATGAAATAAAATGTGGTTGTATATGGGTATGTGTCAAGGTCAAAAAAACACATATCTAATAAAGTTTGACGAAATGTTTTCGGTGACGAGGAATCGATTGGCATCATTAGTTTAGAAAATTTTTTTTTCATGATTTTTTAGTACTAAAAATAGCCTTTTTTAAGAAAATAATTAGTGTTTATGAAGTTTGACCAAAGGTTTTCAGGGTGAAGAATCGAATGGCACCATCAGTTTTGAAAATTTTTTTATAATTTTTTTTCACTAGATAAGGCGTTCTTAAAAGAAAATAATGTCTTTTTATAAAGAAGCAAAGCTATGGATAAAGTGTGTTCTTTTATATTTTGCTTCGAGGTATTTTTTTAAATATGTCTACTTTCATTAATTCAACGAGGAAATGATGTACTTAATTAAAATATTATACGGTGAAAAATGTGAAAAGTTTAAGAACAAGTTTACGTCTTGCGGTCTCGGTCATGGTCCACAATACCGCGATCAGCGAACCAAAACCAGTTCCCCGCATTTCTATATAGCTTTTGCTCATCCTGTCTAATAGTTTATTGTAGTTGTTTTAATCAAATATTCCCTCGACTGAGGGGAGGATCATATAAAATAAAATAAGTTTGTATGTGCCAGGGGCAAAAGAGCATCGGGGTCAAAAAAAACATCGGCCAAAAGATCGATCGTCAGTTGTTTTCGACATCTAGATCTTGTAAGTAGGATCTGGGAATACAAATAGTTTTAGACAAAAGTGAAAATTTGAGAGGAAGAAACAACATCGTCGGACTACGGTCTCAGAGGATTGGGGCATGGGTTTAATTCAATCACGACAATCGACTGCGAGCTGTTTGCTTTAGTAAATCTTACAAAATTCAGAATGGAAAATAGAAAGGTCCGAATCTTTTATAAAATGGCTACCACTGACAATACTATAGACAAATTTTCGTCGGTGCATGTGTTGCACAATAATTGTCAAAGCAGAACTCAGAAAATGACAACACATGATAACAAGATTGAATTCAGTCGAAGGTTAAGCGAGTCCTGCCGACGAGCGTTACTTGTTAATATTGTTCAGAAAATGGATGATAAAATGAAGTTGTTTATGTATTGATCGATAATTCATCATCAACGATTTGTTTAACAATATTATTAACTTTTTGTCTATGTTTATTTTTCGGTAGTTTTGTACCGTTTTCATCAATAAGTCGTTGTGGATCAACAAGAACATTAATTCGAAGAAAATTCGGTACTGCCGATTTACAAAAATAGCAATAAGCTGTTGAAAATGGATACATATAGTTAGGTGCATCTGTAAGTCGATCACAAACATTTGTATAAAGATCAAAAAGTTTTTCACAAGTTAATTCCTGTTGAATAGATATATTTACTTTTGTTTCATAATTTGATTCATCTAACATAATTAAAGATTCAGGTGTACTTCGTCCACCTCGACGAATATTCCAATCACGTTGTTTATATTCATTCTTAACAGTAACAAAAATATCACCAGCATAAATACCATTCCTATATGAAAATGGTTCAGCTTCAATGGCAACCATACGTGCATATATTTTAAACATATGTTGCCAATCAGTAGATGTATCACCCATTTGACTAGCTTCTGCTGCTGTCCATTGTTCAATATATTGACCTCGTGTATCAGTTCCACATAGATTTATTGAAGTTGGATAAAAGATTGAATCTAATACAAAACCACACACTGTATAATCAGCCTCTATATCGCCTGGACGTGTTTGTGCTTCGATAAATTCTTCAACAATAGCATGTGTTGGCAGATCATCTTCGAGAACATTTTTTTCGATGTAATCAATTAAATAAGCGATACGTACATCGACATTTTGTGTCCAATCGTAAAGAAGAGGATTTTCATTTGGTGAAACACAAGACCAACCTCCGGCTCCTTTAGCGTCCAATTTAAGAAAGACTTTTTCGTATTTATATTCAAAATGTAAACGATCAATAGTCGATACTATTGCTCGCGAGAAGCGAGCCACATTTTCTGGAATATGTAATGTATCTGAAGGTGATAGACATGCCATTGCTGTAATATATTTGTCATATTCATCGATCACTGATCCATCTATAAAAACCATCTGTAAAATAAAGAAAAAAAATTATCGAGCTAAGCTTGACACTTTATTGATTTTTACGAAATCATTTCTAAACTTAGTCACGATATGAGGTAATCTTTATTCTCAATTCTATTAAAATGTTCAATTTTTCTTTCGAATATAAAGAATGAGAAAATTCGAATAAGAAATACTCTTATAACTAATCGTTTTAATTAAAAAAAAATTTTTTTCATCGTTGTAGTCCAGAAGAAATGGGTTGTATGTGTAGAAAAAAAACTTACGAGTAACTGAGGCAGATCTTTAAATCCATGTTTGCGCAAGAGAAAATTATGTTTGGCTTTGTCCATTGTTGGTATATCCGGCAGAACAACATTAGTATAATTCGCTAGTTCTTGTCGATGCATTTCCATTGTTTCAAAAGGAAAGACCAATGAACATGTTGCATCACCTGTTATTACGTCAAAATGACGTTTGAATTCTTGGGCATGAAAGTCGTCGGTGAACGGTATTAGAAAAGAATGACATTGTTTACAAAGACGGGTATATTCTTTTGGATCTTGTTGATAGAGAGGAAGAATATCTCGACCTTGATAGATGATACGCACTTGGATGGACCTATTTAAACGTTTTTCAAAACGTTGTTTAATATCAAGATACGCGCGCAATTCAATTGGATTAGGTGGTGCATAGATAACAACCGTTACACCTCGTTCAAAACCCATAGCAAGCCAAAGGGCTGGTAATAAAGACCTATCACAACCCTAAAGAAAAACCAAGAATATTATCTTATAATTAAGAATCTAACAATTAAAATACATTATTTTAAAAGAATACAAGTGAAATTTCTTTTAATAATGTCGAACATTTTGAATTTGAAAAAAATAAAATGGATATACTGGTCTCCCTTATGAAAGCATAATACACTGGAATTTTTAGGCATATTCAGAAACGATTAGAAGCAATTTTCATATTTATACATTTTCAAGGTACGATACTGCTTAGAAATGAGCGAGGTCAGTCGTTTTTAGTTCCGACCCCAGTTCCTCCATGAGCGAGACCATCTTACCCATATGTGTTTAGAGCATCCGAGTCGTGACGTTACGACATTCGATACAAGTTTTACGCGGTCATATAATGTATCGTTTCGACTGAAAAAGCACTGGTTCTGATCTCGGTCAAACGTATGCTTCTTTACTGAAAAGTACCATAGTTAAACACCTATCACATACGTTAATAATTGAAAAAATCCTGATGTCCTCTTGTCATAATTGGATCAAAACAACGAGAAAATTCGGGTGTGGATGTGTGTATAGAGTGTGTGTGTCAGTGTAGATTCTAGTCTTCTCTTCACCTACACCCACACCCACAGTCACCCTGGAGACATCACTTTTTTCAATATTTTTCTAATTTCGACATTTTTTCTTTTCGATATATTTTTTTTCGTCCTTTTCGCTTCAATATTCTTCATTGCGGCCTTTCCACGACGAACCAAAAATTCTAATTCATGTCAATGATCTTTTTCAAAGACACGGAGGATGTAGGTGTGGGTGTGAGGATGTGTTGGTGTTGGTGGAATTGGGTGTTTGTCAGTATGCGTTGGTGTGGATGGGTTTGGGTGTATGTTGGTGTGAGGTACGGTATGAATGAGTTTGGATGTTGATGTTGGTGCAAGTGTGCATGTAGGTGTGGCTGAATAGAGGCTCCGCATTCACACTAACAGTCAAAACCATACCCATCCAAACTGTTAAAACTGTTTGATATGTCGCAAAAATCGTATTTAAACGTCAAAAATATGTTAAAAAACTAAACCTTTTAAAATACTTTAAACGCGTTTTCGAGAACATATCACACTGTTTTAACAGTTGAAACTCATGTTGTTTAAATATCGTTTTTCCAGTTTATTTGTCTGTCTGGGCAGAGGTGTGGATCTTCTATTAACTCATATTCACACTCTTCGACCATTATTGTTCATTCTTATAAGGTATTACACATCTCTCTTTACTACTCGTTATACATGCAGGAAAACAATAAACTAGAGAAATCACTTTTTTGATATATAGTTTCGACATTTTTTCCTTCGATAATTTCGTTTTCGACCAACCTACGGCACCCGTGTTGTTAATGATTGTTTACTTAGCTTATTTTGAATAATATATTTTAAAAAAGTGTGCAGTTATCTATTTTTTCTCTAATGAATGGTTTAAAACCAATACGGAAATAAGAACTAGAAATAAACGAGTTTATGTCTTACTCTTATCTGAAATTTTCATGAATAGGTGTTTATTTTAGTCATTCTGAATATCATCTGCAGGCCTCTCAATGCAATCAATTACCTGAACAGCAAAAAAGCTGGTTGCTCTTTCGGATTTTGATACTGTTAATGCCACATCGTCGAAAATAATAAGATGTTGAGCTTTAAAAGTCGAAGCAATTCGATAAGCTAGCTCTACACGATATTCAAATTGAGATGCATACTTCATCCCATACGCTTGAAATTCAACAGGCGAAAGTTTCGATAAGTCCACTTCATCGTTTCCCATGATTGTATATGTGATAAAAATAAGGACTATTTTTGTGCAGACAAAAAAAATGTAATACTAATGTAATTGATAGGAGCATGTTTTTCTTTTTTTTTCTTAGTGTTTCTGATCGTTTTCTCTTGTGAGAATAATAGAAGGGTAATGTAACAATTTAGCCTAATGTGTAGGTTGTTGCTTATCCTCGATTGAAATGATTGTGATGCCTTTTTCTATCTGTCATACTTCTATGTACTTTCATCTCTTTCTTCTCTTATATGTACTGTGGAATGACATTATTAGTCTGCCTTCCCTTGTACTTAATGTTATCCATAAAAGGAATAACCGCAATGTCTTTTTTCTGTTCGTTATGTTTATCTCGTTCTTCTCCTATATGTGCTTTGGAATCGCTTTCTCGATGTATCCTCCTGTCTTACATAGTGTTATTCATAATTGTAATCTAACATTTGCTTTCCTCTGAATTTGTTCATACATCCCGTACTTTTCTGTTATTGTGTTTACTGTACTTCTCAAAGTCATTCTATCCAAGGAAATAGTATATAACCCAGGACGAGCATTACGACAGTCGTAAACGATCGTATACGACATGTATACGACCACCGTAAACGATCGTATGCGGTAGTATACAACATCGTTTCTCATATTAATCCACATAAACTTGTCCTAATTCCCTCTCCTCACTCTCCAAACAATATAAAAACTAATATTTGGGGTGCCCAGCCAGACTGGGTACCCCAATTTATCTCAGTTAATACTTACTGTTTGATTTATCCTTATAATAAATCTAAAAAAAAAAAATTATTAATTCACATTGATACTTATCCTTCGATTTATTGATGCTGATAATCTAAAAAGAAAACGAAAGAATTATTTTAATAAATTCTAAATTACTGTTCGATGCATCGTTATAAGAAATCTAAAAAGAAAAATAAAAAACTTATTTAAATAAATTTTAATTTTCTGTTCCACTTATCGCTATACATATCGACCCCTCGAAAATTTTTTTCTTATGCAGACACAATAAGAGTTACATCATTGGAAAGAAAGTGAAAAACTGAGTATAGGGCAAACATTTTCTCTTCGGGGAATGTCCAAGTCTTTAGCAAAATTCTTAAAAATACGATTTTCCAGCAGAAATCATACGAATATATCGTTGCCTTCAACGCGTTAGCTATATGTTCTTTTTTGTCTCTCTATTGCGCTCTCTTTTTTTTGTTGCACATGCGTGTATACACATGAATATGACTGTTCCAATGTTTTTTGTGGAACTCACATATGTTTTCGAAGAAAATCGTAGTGGATGTAAGTTTCAAGTTCAAGTTTTCCGGCTCCCCCACCTCTCCACCCCATTACAGGCACTTAGCAACGGAGCCTCCCCCCCTCCATTACAGACACTTAGCAACGGAGCCTCCCATTACAGACACCCCCTCTTTACAGCCTCCCTCCATTACAGACCTTAGCAATTGAGAATAACAGACGTCAGACTTTCAAGAGGTTTTTGAAAAATTGATCGAGTTATAATTTTGAAAAATAACGAATATTATTGTTTTGAATTGATTAATACATTATAGTCCGTAAGGTCTGCTGTCGATATCATGGATATGTAAACCACAATTATTCATCAATTAATTCAATGATTAGGATAATAAGAATATTAAATTAAAAAAACGAATTTAAAAAAATTAAAAATAATGAGCGAATAGCAACAATGCAAATAAAAAATAGGTCACCACTAGAAAAGCTGTTAGCGCAATGCCTTGCGGGATTAAAAATGTGAAACACGATGGATTCATTGTTACTAGTTGAATGGAAATCGTTTTGTTCCATTTCTTTGCGATTCATTTGTAGCTAACTGTTTATCTGATAACTTCTCTGTCACGGTCTGTGATGGGTCCAAACTCTGTCTGCCACGGTCTGTGATGGGCCACGTGAGTGTCTTTCACGGTCTGGGGGGGGGGGGGGGGGGGCCCGCTGCTGCCCCTAAACACTTCAACAGAGAATACATCCTATTCCGCGATGTTGTACATTCCGGAATCAGTTCCGCCCCCGGAACCCGTTCCATCCAATTCCGGGAACTCGATCATCATTCAATATAACAGATCTACTCGTCACTGACCGAGTTCCATCAAATTCCCTGAATTCCCAGAACTACGTTCAGACGGAATTACCCCGAATTCCCAGCAATTCCGGAATCGAACGGAATTCTTAGGAATTCCGTGCAATTCCGTCTCGACTCAATTCCTGGAATTCCGTACGGGAATTAAATCCCGCCCTCATCCTCACGCATGGTGTTGTGACTGAAGAGTATCCTCTCGTATAAGTAAGTAATTCCGGTACGGAATTCCGGGAATTGAGTCGAGAGGGAATCACACGGAATTGGACGGAATTCCCGGGAATTTCTAGGAGTTCCGTCCGATTCCGGAATTTCGGAAATTGATTCCAATTTCAGAGTTGATGGGGATTACATCTCCACTCAATTCCAGGAATTCCGTTCAATTCCGGAATTGCTGGGAATTGGCTGGAATTCCTTCCGGTTCCGGAATTACTGGAAATTTCGAGTAATTCCGTCTGGACTAAGTTTCGGGAATTGACGGAACTCGGTCAGTGGTTAGTAGGTCTGTTGTTGGGAATGATGATCGAGTTCCCGGAATTGGATGGAACTGATTCCGCAATATTCAACAGTACGGAATAGGATGACTGCTCCGTCAACACTCCTTTCAGATCGTGTTTCACAAAAAAATAGAAAATTTTTTGTTCGAAGTGCAGAAATTAGAGAGGTACTTACTCTGATGAGCGATTATCCTGCAAAAGAACTGTAGACTACAAGAGGTTTCTCAGTTTACGTATTCTGTATTAGTATAATGAGGCTATCTGACGTATGTGAGTTTCAAATTTTAGCTCGGTAGGGGCTGCGCTAACAAGCTTTTTGTTGCACATACGCATGTATACATGAACACGCTGTCTTTGAGATTGAACCATTTTTCGATGCCATTTTTGTTGCTTGGTTGGTAATCGTGTTTTGTGAAAACTAAATTGTTATTATGATAGACACTGCGTTTTCTATTTATAAGTTTGATGTCAGCTTTTTTTTTCTTTGTTGACACTAATGGACAAACTACGTAGTTTCAACTGAAAATATGGTTGTCAACAACAAACGAAAGAGAAAAATCGCAACAGCATTATTAACTGTATTATTATTCTGTCCAACTTGCATTTGCTTTACATCTATGCAATCACTTGAGTCTTTTCTCTTATATTGACAAGAACGAAAAAGACATCATAGACTTTGCCAGTTCGACAATTTTTATTATGGTTACAATGCACATAATGAAAGTGTGAACAAAACAAGAAAAAAATAAAATCTATTTTCATTGAAGCGATAAGAATATTACCCTAAATATTCGCGTATCTACTCTCAACGACAAGCAAGATATGGAGGTTTGTATGATGGAGAATATTGTTTTTGCGATGTCTTGAAATCGAAAAACCAATTTTTTTTGTGTTTCTAGATAATATTTACAATAATTAATTTTCACTTCAAAAATAATCACAAACAGTACAATATTTTATTTTTTCATGTTGTTTCCATTAACTAGATATCCTAGTTTATTAACTAGACATATTGCAATCATCTTGCTATTGAATAAATAAATCCTGAATACATTTACAAATTCTATATTATGAAAATATATTCTTGAGTTATTTTCTAGTTCGACGATAGACATCCACTACATAGGATAGAATAAAAATATTTTCGAAAAGTAAAAGTTTGATAAGAAACAAATTGAAAAGAAAAGTGTGAAAAGAAAAATAGCGAAATAGGAAAATATTAGTCAAAATTTATCGAAATTGGATTATGGACCAATTTAAATAAGTATACTATAAATATCTAATTCATTTTGAGATATAATTGGATTCGACATAATTTTCTCAATATTTTATCATTTTTACGTTTTTTCGATCACCTTTATTATCAACTCAAAAATAAATGAAATATGTCAAGAATTAAGTTCATGGCTTATGAATAAAAACTTGCAATTTGCTTCTATGATCAACAAAAACATCAGTTGATTTAGTCCAAATATGATATAGATATCACAAAAAAAAACAAAATCTTTATTTTAATCACCAAGTAGAAGGTGCTCGCCAAGCATCGTCTGTTTATTTATTTTTTCTTAAGCCAAAACAAAGATCTACAGGTATAATATCACTATCCACCCATATTAATTTGAAATGTCCAAAGTTGATAGATTCCCTAAGACTATGTAGCCCACCAAAATTTTTGCTTGGCTTCAGCAAAAAACAAAACAAGTACACAAAATCATACAGAGTTTGATGTTTTACTTCTCTATTCTATTGAAAATGAGATTGAAGAGCGTGGCAGATTTATAATTCTACTTTGATGGTGTACTTTGCTAGAAAAAGGCATGCAAACTTTGATCAATAAGATCTTGTAATAGTTTAAGAGTTACCAAATTGTATCTATGAAATTTTGCCATACCATGCACTCTTTTAATAGTTCTAATTCTAATTTGAGTCGAAATTTATAATACAATGAACTATTTCAATAGCATAATCATTCCTTGTATTAAAATTTTAAGTGAAAAAGAATTCATGGTTTATTTTTGAATGCTGATGCTATACTTGTGTGTGAAAATTGCATTTACATTCAGACTCGTATTAGACAAATACTACTATATTCATGTTTTTCTTGAATAAAACAAATGTCGTCGTGAGGTTGTATTAGTGGAGCTCACAGAATAAATATCACATGACTTTGCACAATTACAGAATTTTCTTCTGCAAATAAAAAAGATATTGACTGTAACGCCTGATTTCAAGATTCTCTTGCATTGCTTCTGAAAAAACAATTAAAACAGACAAGAAAGATCAACAACAAAAAGTACATTAACAACGAATGAGCTACAGAAACAAAAAACACACAAAAAGGTAATTTTTATTATTATTGTCATCAAGGTTCTCTTTTCTTCTTTCACTCGTGTCTGTACAGTGAGCAACAATTTTTGAGATTTTGTTGACATATCATCAAGAGCTTTTTTTTTCATTGCCTATCTCTGGATGTCAATCGAGTTGACGCGTTTAAATCAATAAGAATTTATTGAATCAACTCGACACTGTTCATAACATTACATTCATTTTATCTCTTCATGATCATCGATTCAAAAGTATCTAATATTGCGAAGATCTATAGACTACATATAAAAAGCGTCGTATTTATATTGTGAAAAACAAATCAATGTTGCAGAGGCAGCTCTCTTGAGTATTCCCTTTTTTTCTACTCTGATAAAAACATTTACAAATGTATTATTATGTAAAGAGAGATATTTCAGAAAGTTTCTTAGGATGAAAAATGTTAACATCGAAGAAATGAGGAGAAGGATAATGTAGGACAGGTTGCTAAGAAATGGAAGAAAAATATTCTCGAAACTGGAACTAGATATATAAAAAAGAGGTCAGCTATTATTCAGAAATCCACAAAAAGAAATTCATGAACGACAGATAAAGAATCAATTTTAGCTGAGATAATAGAATGCATCATTGTTTTTAAACAAAAAAGTCCTAAATACTAGAAGATGTCATGAAATACAATCTGGATATTGGTAAAACTTCTTCTACTAACATCAGTAAAAACTGTCACATAAGATCATTTTTAAATGAGAGATGATAACTGCCTTCTACGAAGAAAACCTTCATATAATATAAGAACTTTTAAGGCTTTGGAAATAATCCTAGACAAAAATGTCATCGAGAAAACTACGTATGTCGTACAATCAATGCACAAAATAGACAGCTATTCGATAAGTATAAGAGTTAGCCTTTCTCGACATTAGATGCCGTTTTGCATGATTAGGTGAATCGATGTTTTCACAACTACTAATTGATTGAATGTTCACAACCCATAATTAATGTTTTTACCTTTGAAATACGAAAAAGAAAGAGATGGCTTCGAATGATTATCGTGCTTTTACTATAGATGAAGTAATAGATTGATGGCAATTGGAACTGACTTCCTCAATAAGACAGTAAGGCTTTTTGACTACAAAAAGAAGTTCTCTACTAAGTATACTGAATACAAAAAGAGTGTTGCACTATTTGCCAATATTTAGCTTCATGGTAAAATGGTAAATTCAATAAAGCAGAAGCAATATCTCAATTCAAAGAAAACTACTATGTGATACAAAGAAAACATTCAATATTTTTATGTAGAATTCACATAGAGAAGAGTTTCAATTTCACTTATACCGAATAAAATATTGCACCATGTTGAGTTATATGTTTGAAATTCGAGTGTGAGTGAAGACATGTTGCCAAAGTAAATCTCATACCCTGTAGTTATTGTCTTACGGTCGTTTTTTTGCATTGCTGTTTTCGTTTTGTTGACACTCAAAAACAAATTTTACCTAGTTTTAATTTGAAATATGGTTGTCAATAACAAGGGAAAGAGAAAATATGCAACAGCATGATCTATTCTATTGTTATTGTTTCCAACTTTCGTTTATTTTTCATTTTTACCATGACTTAAGTGTCATTACATTGAATACCTTGTCTCATAAATTGTTTATTTTTCTTCGTTTGCCTCAACGATTTTTTTCTCTTTCGAGCAAAACTGAAAAAAACAACGAAGACATTGTCAGTTCGATTTCTTTTCTTTGTGATTACCATAAACATTCTAATGACATGAATGAAACAACCAGAAAAATCAATACCTGGAGAAAAATCTTGTTCATTTTGTAATTAATCTTCAGCGATATGCATTGTGTTTTGTAATTGTTCGAATAATTACGAGTTTTTCTAATTAAAGTTCGAATATA